AAGGAAGTTTGAAGTGGAGACTCCAAGTTTCCCCACAGGAATTTCATTTTCACCGAAAGTAGGGAAGATAAGGGTGGCGATTTTTCTCTGTATTAATCTTTGCTTGGCTCTTTCTCTTTCTTGCAATCATTTGTTCCATACTCTTCTGTTGAGTTCACGTGCAATATACCATGGGTGACACAAAAAACGTGAAATGACATGCATTCATAGCCTTTTTTGGCTGTTTTTTGGCCCCGCTGTTACAAAGTGCTACAGGAGGGAGGCCTCATGGAGAAGGTAGGATGAAACAGGTGAGCATGCAAGCCCACGGAAGTTGAGATTGTGGAAAGATGTCTCAACACACTCAAGCAGAAGGTATGTGAAGAAATATAAAAAACCAAGTAAGAAAAGTAAGTTGATTCCTTAGAGATGATCACAATGCCCAAGTCTCACACCTCAAAGTCTCCCTAGTCGGAGACTCACATCACTGTCCCCACTCCATGGGATTATCCCAGATGGAGTCAACTTACCATGGGCTCTTCCAGTCCCCCAGTACCTGCGATCCCTTCCTACCTGTGAGGGTGACCGAGGCCGGGCTGGTGCAGGAGACGCAGGTGCCAGCGTGTGATTGGGACTAGCTGTCGGGCTCGGGATGGGTGATGGCTCCTCGGGCGGTGATGGGGTCTTTGCAATACGGAGGGGACCTGAGTCACTAGATGAACACAGGGAGTAAGCAAGGCGCCTTCTAAGGAATGGTACTTATTTCTCAGGGGCCTCCCCTTCCAGAGAAATCCTGAGGCAGAACAGGTTCTGTGGGTTATCTCCTCCTCAGTCCAGTTAATTCTGGTTATTAATGGGGATGGGATGCTGGGTACCATTTATCGTCCACTGTGCACCAAACCCCATTCATAAATTATCTCTAAGGTCACCAGACCCATGCACGATTGTCCCCACTTTACAGGTAAGTAAAAGGGGCAAGAAGAGAATAAAAATTCCTAATGTCACTGGGCAATTTAACAGATCTGAATTCAGGCTTTGGTAATGCAAACCCCTGTTCTTTCTGCTGCGCCAGCCAGGCTCTGCAAGGATCTTCCAAACATAAACTGAATTAATGGGACTAATTTCACTTTTAATTTATAGGAGAATCTCGCTGTGGCATCATCTATAGAAAACCCTACCCCCAAAATTACAAGTTGGATATTAAAATGCATCCCTAGGATAGTGTTAATTAAGATTTTGCAGGAGTGCTTTCTGATAACATTCAGAAACGAATTCGTTATTTCTCTTTCTACACCTTAGAGAACAATAACTCAACTCAGACACGTTGAAGTATGCAAATTATGTGATGGATGAGAGTCCGCAGTGTTTACTGAGAACCCACCACATTCCCGGCACCGGGCCGGATGCTCGCAAACAACCCAAATGCAATGGCTAAGACAGCACTCGGGACACATCCTACTAAGAATTTCTAAACACTACAGATTGAGGGAACACGATCTGCACCCCAAAATGAGCATGTACACAGCAGCATGGTCTACGTACTCAAGGGGTCGGGGGAACGGGTCCCCTGGAGAGGACACGGACACAGCGCATGATTGGGGCCGTGCCAGCAATCATGACCTCTGTTGGGAAGCACAGCCCCCCATCTATGCTTAACGGAGACGCCACCGAGCTCACTCACCACCTCGATCTGCCGAAGAACGTTGGAAAAAACGAGAGGAACATTTGTTAAGTGGTCGTGGCCCCACTTTCTCTTCAATTTATCTGACTCAGCAACATCGAAATTTCCAGATGTGCTTGTTCCTTTCACCTCTGCATAAGGGAGCCACCTTTTCCCATGCACTTCATTTCTACATCACCCAAATGTCATTTTGATACTCTTATCACAATTCTTTGTTGGTTTCCAGATCTGTATTGAAATACTGTATTGGAAACAGCAGCTCCACCCCTTTGGTGTGTATTTTTAGGCAGTGTTCTTTCCCTTAGAAAAAGAAGGTGTGCTTAATGCTCACTTAGTATGGCAACCACAGCAGGGACTGCAGGTACAGCTAGAACAAAGGGTGTCAATGAGAACACTGCTATTTCCAGAGAGATCCAACCAGTAATGTATGGAGGTGGTGGTGCCTGTGTGTATGTGTGTGTGTGTGGTGTATATGTGTTTCTATAAATGCATGTGTATATATTGATGCTAAAATTGTAAGTATAGACTGTCAGGACTTCATATTACCTTACAAGATGTTTAGTTCACTAGCACCTTTTGATTTTTATTGACTTAAAAAAATGAGATCTTTAACCAGAGAGGTTACTGAACTTACTGAAGGAAGACAAAGCAAGTTAACTGCAGAGTCGTAAACCTGAAGGCTGGGTCTTCTGACTTCCAACCCAAGCCTCGCTACCTGAGCACATAATGTCTGAGAAGGAAGGAATAAAAAGGATGTGCAAATCACAGGAGAAAGCTGGTGTGAAGCCCAGCCCCGGCCATGTAGACCCTTCCCCTACGGATCACTGGGCCTTTGGTACATCCGACCGGCATGCTCAAAATAAAGCCAAACCAATATTCAATAAAACCCAAGCAATGCAGTGCTTGCAGGGTCAAGGTCAAGTTAGGAGGTAAAATGGTGGTGAGGTCTCACCTACTTCTTCTTTCCTTTCCCCAAATGGATTCATTAGAGGTGTCAACACCAGCAAGAAGTATCAGGACTAATTGTTAAGTCTGGGGAAGTCCTCTTTTCTCCAAATAAAGTAACAAGTGGACAACCAGAAATTAACACCATTTCTGGGAAGCAGAGAGAGGTTGACAGCAGCTCTTCTGTGACACAGGGATACATCTGAAGGCTAAAAGTCAATGTAAAAGGACAGAACCAAGGCTGCTGTCAGCCTATGGATGGACAGGCTCCTCAGTTTTGGATCTTTGTAGGGTAAGTAACAGAGTATAGGCTGGTACAGACTGCAGAAATTGCAACAATCCTTGCCTGAAAGGTGCATGGTGTTGAACTTGGCTCTGATGAACGTGGCTTACCTGGGAGCTCCTTGAATGGTGAAGGCCTTGTCAGCATGCTGGTCGCCCAGTTTCGTCATGACTTCATACAGTTTGTGGCAAAGCTAAGGGAACAGAGGCCATTTGTCTATTAGCTGCAAGTCATTCTGCAGCCAACTCAAACTATTGCCCCCAGATAGGAATTGTTTATTGAAAAGCTAAGAATTTTACGATAGTATGGATGGTCAGGCTAATTTAAATTCTGAATAGGGTCTAATTTAAAATTGATGTCCAATTTGTAAGGCCACAAACACAAATAAACTTCATATATATATATAATGTATGTATACACACACACATGCACAGACACACACATCTATATATACATATATATCAGAGTACCGAGCAGAAGACAAAAATCTTATTGTTTACATTGATTCAATTAGAGATAAAGTCATCCCACCCCCCTGCTGAACTAAGAAAACATCAGTGATGAGAGAGCTGCTGACTATTTGAATTTTTGGACACCAGTTTTTCCTCAGCCTCAAGTCTCACTTAAAAATCCAATTTTAAAAACAGACTTAAAAAAAAAAAAAAAGACAGTGAGACTGTAACAAGCAGGCAGCAACTCATGAGAGCACAAACCAAAATCTTTTACCAGATACACAGAACCATGTGGTCATTACCCAAAAATGTAGAAATATTACTGAGAGTAATAACACACTGTTAAAAGAAACATGCAGGAGAGTAAATTCTTTGTATGATGTGGTACCACTTCATTTGCTTCCAGAATGAACGTTCATTTTCTTTATGTTCCATAAGTAAAAATAATCACCATTACTCACCACCGCAATTTCCTTATGAAACTTGGCCTCTAGGCTAGAGACGTTTTTGAACGTATTGACATAAAATCCAACTCGTCTGCCGTGTAGAAACACAAAGAGAAAAGAAGAGACAGGAAAGATCGGTCAGCAAAACTGTATTTTTAATGGCAATGACATATATTAAAAACAGGTTTTCTTTACATAATTTTGAAGAACATTGGATTAAATAAACTACTTAACCCAAAGTACGCCCAACCTTTCCTGATCTGTTAGTGAACAAAAAAACCATCTCCTGGTGTAGAGCACAGCCTTTCCTAAAATGTGGTTAATACCTTAAGAAATGGTTCTCACACTTGAATGTGCATCAAGATCACTTGGAGGTTTGTTTCCGATTCAGTAGGTCTGAGATGGGGACTGAGAATCTGAATTTCTAACCAGCTCCAGGTGATATTCATGCTGCTGCTGCTTCAGAGAGAACATTTTTGGAACCACTGCTCTAAGAATTTGTATTTTAGATAGGTATCTTGTAAAGGTTTTGAGATAGAGAAGTTTATTCTTAATTTTTACCAAATTTAAGTGGTCTGGTTTGGGTATCCTATCTTTGGACTGTGAAATTTGATGGAGGGAAATAAAAAAAAAAACCCTACAAATTAATTACAATTCTTCAGCTAAAGTTAGAGTGTGCTTTCACTGAACAAGTCAAAACACCTGCTATTCATCCACAATACTTCAACCACGTTTGTAAAACAAAGTCATGGTCGGGGGGCGGGGAGGGGGGGCGTCCTATGACATGAGCAAAGTCCCCTCGGTCTTCATTTTTAGGTCCCTAAGGGTAAACACACCAGTCAGCTCAGTGGATTCAGCCCAGTATCCCCAGTATAAGCGCCCTCTGCTCTAAATGTAGGCTCTTTGGACTCTACATTAATTCAATCCTTCTGAACCCATCCGAGGAAATGACTATCTTGATTTAATTCATGCTCTTTTTTCAATGACCTTCTCAAAAATAAGTCCAGAATCTTGATTGGTTAATTAGATTCTAAATCTCAATCAAGAGAAAGTAAGGACTGAGGCACAGAGAGTTTCATTTTCCCAGGTCATGCAACTAATAAGTGGAGAAACAATATTTGGATGCAAAAGGAGGAAAATGCAATAAAAAAAAAGCATGGAATGTTTGCCAAGAAATCTGTGTAAGCATGAATATTGTTATTCCTGTGTTTTCCCATAAATTAGGTGATTTAGAATTTTAATAAAGTAAAAGCTAGAAGTTCAGTTTAGAGATTCAGAGATGAAATAATAGTTTCGTGCTAAATCCATCCTACCAATAAGATTTACTTTTTCTATGGCTTAACCTGTATCTTAAATTCCTACCATGCTTCACTTAATCTTTTTTTCTTTATAGGATTAGTTTATTTGGGTTTCCTTCACCTTTTTATTTTTCAGCCTTATTGAGATATAACTCACAAATAAAACTGTAAGATATTTAAAGTGTACATCATGGTGACCTGATACAGGCATACACTGAAAGAATTCCCCCATCTAGCTAAACACCCATCACCTCACATATTTATCTTTTTTGGTGAGAACATTCAAGTTCTATTAGCCAATTTCAATTATATAACACAGCACTGTCGACTACAGTCATGATGTTTTACACTGGGTCCTCAAAACTCATTCATTAGAGTGCAAAGTCTGTACCCTTACCAACCTCTGCCCACTTCTCCCACCCCCAGCACCTGGCAACCACTTTTCTACACTGTTTCTATGTGTTTGCCTTTAAAAAAAAAAAAGATACCGCATGTAAGTGGTAACATGCAGCATAACATGCATCATCAGAATGACAGGGGATAACAAACGTTGCTGAGGATGTGGAGAAAAAGGAAACCTTGTGCACTGTTGGTAGGAACGTAAGTTGGTGCAGCCACTATGGAAAACAGTATGGAGGTTCCTCAAAAAGTTAAAAATAGAATGGCCACATGATCCAGCAACCCCACTTCTGGATCTATATCCAAAGGGAATGGAAAGAGGATCTCAAAGAGATATCTGCACTCTCATGCTCACTGCAGCATTATTCACAATAGCCAAGATATAGAAACAATCCAAGTGTTCATCAACTGACGGATGGATAAAGAAGATGTGGTATACAGACACAATGGAGTATTATGCAGCCTTGAAAAAGTAGGAAACCCTGCCATTTGTGACAAGATGTATGGACCCTGAGGTCATTATGCTAAGTGAAATAAGCCAGACAGAGAAAGACAAATGTTTCACTTAATGTTCTTTATCTATAGTGATCACGTGTCCCTGAATCCACCTACTTTTTCTTTTAATTGATTTAAAATACAGTTTATCCTTGAACAACACAGGTTTGAACTGCGCAGGTCCACTTACACACAGATTTTTCCCAATAAATACAGCGTGTGTATTTTCATTTTACAAATCTTGAAATTAACTAAGTGTGGGGAAAACTTTGTGTTGAATAAGAGATCAGAATATCGGGAATCAAAAGCACTAGGGTTTGAGTCCTCACTCCAGCCAAACTGTTTCAGTTTCCTGCCCTTGGGTGAGTCAGTTTTCAATCCCTTTGTCTTTGAGGAAGGAGTAGCAGTACTCAGATTTTAGACTGTATGGGGGCAGTGCCCCAAGCCCCTGAGCTGTTCAAGAGTCAACTGTAATATACATAATCATGCATATATCTGTGTATATACAAATACACACACACACATATTAATAAAGAAAATCCTGGTGCAGTGTTTTTGGGAAATATTAAGTCCTGTGAGAGATGAGAGCCAGGTGAGGCAGCCCTGTGCTCGGGGGCAGAGGACCTCCCAGACCACGAAGCACGCATTTATTTGCAGGCGATGGTTACTTGCAGCCTGTGGACGTGTTTGACCCGGGGAAAGGAGAGGACTTGGCCCCGTATTTGAGGAAGGGCTAAGGAGGACAGAGGCTGGATGGGAGAGGAGAGACTGCACGTGCAGGTGTCCTGACAGCACTGCAGAGGGACCGAGCTCACTGTGCTGTTTGCAGAGAAGTCTCCCTGGGGCGCTTTAAGTGGCAACCCAGGATCCCTTCTCTAGAAGCCCAGTCATCCAGGCAGTCATTCCCCGTTCAATTACTCGGCAAAGAGCCTCTCTAGCTCTGGGAGCCTGCCCTGAGGGTGGCCGAAAGTGGCTCCAGGAACTGACAGTTCAGCTGGAAAAGCACCAGAGGACTGAAGAATGAGCATAGGCTCCATTCATCCCAGTGAGAGAAAGAAGCAGATTTCAAAACAGCACATGGATGCTAAAGTCACCATACACGAGCAAATATCGAACATTGGCAGATACGGACAGAAACAGCTGAAGGAACTGGGAGGAGAGAGGAGCAACCAGCCCTGCGCCAGCTGCAAACGTCTGCTTGAGAGGACAGACTCAGGCTGCCCAGAGGGATGGGTCAGCCTAAACATACCAAACCTTGAATACATTTCGCAAAAACAAGAATCCCCATTCATCTTTAACTTCTCTTTCCTGACACACAGCATATCTTAGCTTGTTTACACCAATGATTATTTAGAGAAATAATTGGCACCGTAGTAGAAAAAAATCCCTTATTTAGAATGACTAAACAAGCATCTACAATTTTATAATCTTTTATTGTTTCCTTCTCAGAACTTGGAAACCAAAGCAACCAGGATGGATCTAATTTAGAAAAAAAAAGTTCAAGATTTTGATGCATCTTATATAGTGATTCTCTCCAGTTTATGAAATCAGAGATTCTTTCAAAGTGGGGACTGCCTTCGACTAGATCACTGGTACAAGACCAGCAGATATAACAGCAGTTGGTATAGACCAGGCATGCAGTACATATTCCATGAATGAATGAGTGAAGAATGAATGAATGAACAAGCAAATAAACAAACCAATGATTGAACAAATTTGGCATTCGTTCCACTGGAAGGGTGC